GGAATAAATGGTTCTGAGGGTCACCAGAGCCGAAGTGTTAACTCTGATTTTCTCTTCACAGATGCTGCCAGACTTGCTGAGCTTTTCCAGCAACTTTTGTTTTTGTTCCTGATTTACAGCATCCACAGTTCTTCCGGTTTTTAATAAGTGGGTTATCCTCAGCTTGGCAGACTGTGACTAGTGGGGTCAGTGTTTAGACCCTAGCTGTTCATAACCTATATCAATAAGTGGATGCAGGGGGCCAATTGAAATATATCCAAATTTGCAGACAACAGAAGATTTAGTGAGAATGTGAACTGAGAGGAAGATGCAGTGGCTTCAAGAGGATTTTGACAGGCTGTCAGTGGGTAAGAGTATGGCAGATGGAATATAATGTGGATAAGTGTAAGATTATTCACTGTTTGGAAGAACAAAGGTGCAGAGGATTTTTTTATTGAAGAGATTGGAAAGTGTTAACATTCAAAGAGATTGAAGTATCCTTGTTCATAAGTCAAGTGCAGCAAGCAGTTTGAAAGACAAAAAGTATGTTAGCCTTTATTACACGAAGATTTGAGTGCAGGAGCAAAGATGTGTTGCTTCAATTGCATAGAACACTGGTGAGATGACTCCTGGAGATTTGAGTGCAGTTCTGGTCCCCTTGCGTAAGGAAGGATACGCTTGCTATTGCGGGAGTCTTGCAGAGGTTCACAAGACTGATTTCTAGGATAGTGGGACTTGCCTTTGAGAAGAAATTGAGGAGACTGAGCCTGCGTTCTCTGGAGTTTAGAAGAATGAGAGGCAATCTCATAAATGTACAAAATTCTTAAAAGAGATAGAAAGATTAGATGCAGAAAGGCTGTTTCCCCTGGCTGTGGGGTCTAGAACCAGAGAGGATTGTCTCAGAATAAAAGGCAAATCATTTAGGAGCGAGATGATTTTTAGTTACTAATGATATCATGGGAGGAGTATAATTCAGGTATCTGGCATTGTGGTAGATGATGAGCCACGAGTAGGCACCGGGGTCTGAGACGGCTTATTCGTGCTTTATCTTGCTATGATAAAGCATACCATGAGCGGAGTGTAGGTGAGAAAGCAAGCTATCCTTTACTTAGAAAAGACTCATGCACGTATATGGAAGCCCATCGCCAATATCAGGAAAGCTAACAGGTTATAGTTCAACACCGGCAACTCGACATCAGGAAAGCTAACGACAGGAGTATAATCCTAACATGGGTCAGACTAGCCAGAATGTAGTCGAGTCTGGAGATAATGAAGGCACGGGTGAGGGTTTTAGCAGCAGATGGCCAACTTCGTTCCTGCCTCAGCCTAATGTTACGGCTAATTATGGATATACAAAGGTTGCCAATCTAGATACAAGTTGTATAAAGAAATGGAAGGGATGATATAACAGTAACAAATTATTGTCAAACCTTTCTCGACTGTCTGGTTAAATTCTTTATGGTTTGTACTCCTTTTCATTTGGTAGGTGAGATAAGGCAAGACGAACCAAGCCAGCAGGGTCACATGACTAGGTTTCCAATCGGCTCCTTTGCAGGGAGGCGGGAACGTTCCCACCCCCACCCGCAAAACCATCAATGCGTGATTGCGTTATTGGGGCGTACGTGGTAACGTCAGGAGGCCGTATCCTGATTGGCGGTTGGAGCAAATTTGAAATCAGGCCGCGAAAACGTCCGGAGTAACGGAGCAGGCGCCAGGTGGAGAGTGGTGGACCAAGCGGTAAGGGTTCCTGGGGGAAAATGGGTCGGGAATTTAGAGATTGTTTTTGTTCTCCCTTCTTGAGATCGGTGCTGTTCACCCGATAGCGGGATGTTGTTGATTGTAAGTGGGGTGGGCGATGGAAGTCGGGCTTCTGGGCCCCGTGGAAAAGCGGGAAGTATCGTTCGTCTCTCCTTCCTTCTAGGATCTCCCCGATCAGAGAAAAGACGAACCCTTTGTGGTGATCGAGATATGTGCCGGGCCCTCGAATATATTAAAAATGTCTAGAAAGCACTAGGTCATTGGCTACTTCATAAAGGAAGGTATTTCTCTCGCCTTCCCCATCTGTAGAATGTCCTAAAGTGCTTCACAGTCAACAATGAACGTTTTCAACCGTAATTACTGCTGTAATATAGGAAGCACTGCAGCTAAATTGCACACAGCAATCTCCCACAAACCGAAATGTAGAAATGACCCAGATAATTGTCTTTTGTTATGTTTGTTTGAGGTACAAATATTTGCCAGGACACCAGAGGACTTCCCTGTTCATTCACATAGTGCCCCAGGATCATCTTGCATCCACACCAGTTTAATGTCTTATCCAAAAGACAGCACTTCTCTGACAGTGCAGCACTGCATTGGGAGTACCAGTTTAGATCTTGGTATTCAATTCTCTGGCGTGGGAATTGAAACCAAGAGTGCTACCAATTGTTTTATTAATTGCAGTAATATAGCTGCCAACCTTGTGTGTTGATGGATCCGCAAGCAAGAAATGCTGGCTGGGTTGGGAAATGGAAAGACTTTCTTCCCACCCAGTGAAAGTGTAATGTGTTAACTTTAATGTTATGTGGTTACACTCTTGTAGCTTCAGTGAAGTAATTTCAATTCATAGCACTGATTTTCAACCCCCCACTGCAATCCTGAGGCTGTACATTTCTGGTCTTGCATAGAGTGTTCTGCGTACTTGAGTGGGATGTAGTTGGATACCAGCATTTATGGAAGTTGTATGCCTTTTGCTATGTGCTGCACTTTTTAATACTGTGCTTATGTGCTTCAGCAATAGCTTTTTATAAAGCTTTTGTCAATTTGAGTTGGAGTGGCGCAAGATTCAAAAACAGAAATTTTTGTACTTTGAAGTGAATGGTTTCCCCATCTGTTAATGATATAAATTGCAGCACATTGTGTTGTTAGTCCTTGGATTTTAAACACTTAATAGGTCTGCAATACTTAATGTGACTGCTTCATCAAATTTGAGGGTTGTTTAAGCAATCTTTTGCAAATGCAGTTATTTTTGGAACAAATATGATTGTCAAAAATCTCTGTGGAACAACTTATAGAAATTAAGGAGCTGCTGCAGCGCTGTTTTTATATTGCTGGAGGCCTTTTGGCTGAGATATGTCACTGAGATTCTTCAGTTTGTTTTAGTTGCTTCATTTAAATTCCATGGAAATTTTAGTCCTTAAACTGTTACCAGTTATAATTGGACATGATTTAGTTTAATAAATTATTGTTTTGTCACTATCGCATCAAGCTGTCTTTAACACTGACTGGTAAAATCATGACATGCTCAGAATGTCCACTAACTAAATATTAATAGTAAATTTTGTGCTGTTGAGTGGTTGTTGGCGTTGTGCTACTGTGTCTCTTTAAAAGCCCTTCAGGTCTTGTCTTTTGCTGTGAATTAATACTGAGCCAGGATTCTTGGAATTGAGTTGGTGACCAGCCTGATCTCCATCTTTGGGCTGATGGCCATTTTATGATTTTTTTTTCGAAGGAACATCTGTAGGTTTATTCCTGCAGACTTGCACACAATACCTTTTGTGACTTTGAGCCAACTGTTCATTCCTGGCAGATATCGATGTGAGCAGAAGATTGACCCTCACCTGAAGTACCTGTAGGACTAAAATTGAGTTGGTTGAAAATTACATTTTGGAGGAATTTGACTCTTCTCTCTTGGTTTTTCTCCCCATACGAGTCCAGTGTGTGAATATTGCAAGACGATATTGCACCAAGAATCTTGGTTTAAAATTGAGATGCGTGGAAACTATGTCACTGTTGTAGTTCCCTTACTTTTCTAATGCATTAATCTGTTTTGTAGGAAAATGGAATCTGCCATGGTCACTCTACGCAACATGTTCGAGCAGTTGCTCAGACAGATGGAAGTACTAAATGAAGGAATTGAACCTCGTAAGCATTTTTAGTTTTGCTAATGTTGGGGTATGGTCATGATCAGTGAGGTTATTCATCTAGTTTTCTGTGAGATACTTTGAATTTTAGTCGTCAGTATATTTGTATAAAACCGGGAGATAGGACACCAAAGCTGGCTTGGTGAGCTGTAACTGCATCATGAAGCTTTGTAGATCAACTGAAATATTTGGACTACCAAAGTAATTCATTAATTTTCAAGCATAAAGATTCAATTGTTTGTATTTCTGCCAGTTCAATATGCTGATTCTTTTTGACTTTACCCAGTGGTACTAAGAG